CCTATCATTGACCACATTTTTATGATCTATAAATCGACTAATCCACTCATTCAGAGAAGGCAAGAAAGAAAAGAAACAAGCAGCAGTAACAAATGTGATTGTTTCCACACAGGTCATAATCATTTTTACTTTCGCAGTATTCAGACGCTGCATCAGTTCTCAGAGATTCTTCAAAACGCAGGTGAAAATAACAGAAAATCGAAGTTAGGACATAATTTAAGTGTGCGTGCTTTAGAACAATGGCGCAGCAGGAAGAGTGGCACACTGTGAGCACAATCCTCTTCTGTACTCTCTGGACAGGAAAGAGATAACTGGCTGCAGAGGATGCAGGAAGTCAGAAGTTTTACTGGGGAATGCAACAGTCTGCAATTTAAATTAATCAGTAACAAAACCACAACACACTAAAATCTGAGCACCCTTTTATTTATGATTTATTTACCTGGCCTACATTAATGTTTACAAGAAAGACAGAGCTCACGTTCCATTTCCTTATAAATCACACGTGAGCACTGGTCAAAAAGCAACTTGTTCTTTCCAAAAGGAGCCACAAGCCTTTGCTGTGTTTCCTGCCTCTAGATTTCCAGCTGGGGTTTGTTTTGTCTCATGGTCTAGTGGTTTATACATTTGCCTAACAAACAAAAGGTCCCCAGTTTGTTCCGGGGAGGAGACACAAATCTCTTTAGGCCTTTTGCCATGCAGAGCTAAGAAGAAATTCAAGTTATCATCTTGAAATTTCAACTTGTTGACACAGAATTCTGAGTAAATTAAAATTTTGAGATAATAAACCCGAATATTTGACTTATGGATGGCAATTTTTTCAGTAGTGAAAAAAGCTTCCATAGAGGAAGGACATCCGGTGTACAACTCTTCCAAATCAAACATGGGGATCTACCCACTGTGGCGACCCCTTGTGAATAAGGAAGTAGCCAGAAGTATCTTTATGGGAAATAATTATGATAATGATTGTGATAAACAATTCAATAATTGTAGAAAGTAATGATAAACATTAAAAAACAAATGAAGAAAGTGGGGCGCATGCTGTGAGGATGAGAGACTTAATAATTTCAGGACAATTTATAGAAGCGATCTTGGCCATTTTGGTCATTTAAATTTGAATCATCAGCTTGCAAAAGATTTATTAGCCCTTTGTTCAATAAACAGCAGAATGTCTGTGTCACGGTTCTGGGTCCGTTGGACCCAGTATTTTGAGTTTATTATGTTTTGGTGTAATTTTGCATCATGGATTGTTTTCTTGTTCTCTTGTGGTTGTGATGATTATTATTATTATTAGAGTTTCATGTTTCTGTTATCCATGTTTTAGGAATTGTGGTTTCATGTATAGTTCAGTTCCATGTGTCCTTTTCTGTCTCTCTGTGTTGAGTCCGTGTCTCTGAGTTGTGATTCATGTTTCCTGTTTTATTGTGAAAGTCTGTCTTATGTTAGTGTGTGCAGCTTTGTTCCCCACGTCTCATTAGCCCTCATCTCCCCCAGCTGTGTCTCCCTCCTGTGGCCCATTCCCCCATTACTACCCTGTGTATATAAGCCCTGTGTTTTCCCATGCTCGGTGTCGCGTCGTACCCTCAGACCCTGCCTGTGTGTTCCTGCTTGGTTTCATGGTTTGGTTTTTGTTTCATGCCAGCAATAAAAGCTGTGGTTTTAGTTACATTTCGTCTCGGAGTCCTGCATTTGGATCCACATTTCCACCTGCCCGCACACAGAGCCCTGACAGACTGAATCATTAGTTTAAGGCTCATTGATCACATATTTTTTTAAGTGAAAAAAAGATGGAGGCAGAGATTATTTTCAACTTACCCAAACCAGAACTACAAGAAAAGACAAAAGTTTGAACAGTGTAAGTTTTCTCTTGAGTTCACCACATCATTATATTTTAATGTTACTTAAAAGAAGAAATGACTCCCCATTAATAAAGAATTTGGGAATTTACTCTTTGGAAGTTGATTCATGGACTCTTATGTTTTGAGTTTGTTTGTTTGTGCGTGTGCACATGTTATGTTCAGGTCATGAGATAAGGTTGTTGTAAAATTGTTGCTTTCCTATCACTCACGTGGGATGGTTATAAACCCCCTGCTTAGTAAACTGACTGTAGATGTGCACAGGGTTAAATACAGACATGCACTTGAACTGAGAATGCGAACGCTGAGAAGTTTGAGTGCAGGCTGCCTTCATACAGGAAGTGGGAAACTCCTTTGAACAGCATGTCCTGAGCTCTATTGTGTTAGCCTGAACTGTTGTCCACCTCGGTGCACGTTTCGCCACACGGCTGACACATATGAAGCTATAAAAGATCTCTAGAGAGAATAATCTCTGATAACCCAGAAGTTAGTCCTATTTGCCAAAGGAAAGGCCTCTAAAATATGTGCGTCATCATATCAGCCTTTAATCTTACCTATGATAAAAAGCTTGTTGTGATTATTTGGAGCATCTTAATCTCAAGATACTTTACACAGTAATGCTGAGAACTGTTTTATTAAGAGTCGTTTAAACCTTGATCAAATAAATTAAAATAATTTGATTGCAGCTGATTGATTTCATACTGAAAGCATTTCAACTTACCCACACTGACTCTATGAAGAAGAAAAAAAATTTGGAGAAAAGCTGTCATTAGGCTGGATACACACAATGAATTTGCAACTTTAAACTTGGATTTGGAAAATTGCACTGTTAGAAAAAAATGTGTAAAAATAAAAATACACAAACCTTCTTGACTTTTTTGTAGTTTTCCTTCTTCTTTTTCTTCTTCTCTTCTTTTGCCTTGGCTTTCGCCTCATCATCCACCAGTGGCTCGTACCTCTCTGGCAGGAAGGCGAAAAGTGTTTCTCTGTGGCACTTCTCGTGTTGCCTGTTGCTGTCAGCTGTTTGCTGCCCGTCGTTGGACAAAGATGGATCCAGCAGCTCTGGGTGATCAACGCAGTCCACATGCCGCTCATACTTTGCTGCACTTCTGCTGGGACTCTTGCCTGATGCTGTTGCAGGTGAATCTCTCTGAAACAGCCTGGATGGAAGAGACTTGGGCTTCATGTTTACCCGATTGTTGCAGTTCTCTGAGATCTAAGGAGGGGGGAAGAAAGGCACCAGATTCCTCAGGAGGTCAGGTGTGTTGTCAGCAGACGTTATGTGCATGAGTGGAAGTGCATTCCACTGGACCGCCTTGTGTGCTGGGATCTGGCTCAGAGCCCTTAAAGGTGCAAATCCTTCCTCCTCATTAGGCTGACCTCAATAGGTAACAGGGTTTCAGTTGGAATATTTTAATGAAGTGCACTGAATAAAGTTTACCGCAGAGCAAAGTGCAAATCAATAAACTACCTTTTATCTGCACTTTTCTTAGTTTAGGTTTAGTTCAGAGCTAAGGGTAACAGGGTTTCCCACTCTAGTCCAGCTGGGAGCATTGCATCTCTAAGCTGTTTCTTTAGACTGTCTTAAAAATAGCTTATAGCATTTTAAAGAGAGTCATTTTTTTCTGTTTTCTCTCAGTACTGTTTATATGTGCGCAACATCCATTCATTCATACTCTTCTGCTTATCCTTGTCAGGGTTGCAGGGGCGCTGGAGCCTATCCCAGCTAACATAAGAGGGAAGAGGCAGGCTACACCCTGAACAGGTCACCAATCTAACGCAGGGCTAAAACAGACAGACAACCATTTGCAATCAAATTCACACCTATGGACAATAAGACAATTTAGACCTATGGACACATTAGATTCATCAAAATAGCTTAACCCCACTAAATGCATGTCTGTGGTAGGAAGCCGGAGTACCTAGAGAGAACCAACACAGACGTGTAGAGTTTGCATGCATGGGTTAGGTTAAGTGGCAGTTTTACACTGTGAAAGTGTGTGTGAAAGTGAGCATCAATAGTTATCTGTTCAGGCTGTATCCTGGCTTTTTCCTCATGGTAGCCGGGAAAAGCTCCTTCAACCCTGAACTAGAGAAACGATAGAAAATGGTTGAATGTTTTTATAAATACAAGCAATTTGACCTCATACTGTATGTTCAAAATGTACAAGGTGATGAGCCTGTATAGTTTTACAAACTTAAACTGTCAATATAAACATGAAAATTTTTTTTAGCAAGAAGTTAAAGAAATGTGTTTCAAAATCTTTCTGATTAATATGTCTGTTCAGATCCCTGTTTTAAATAGCACTGTGTCGTGATATGCATCATTTAAGGTAGCACCGCTTGTTCAGTGTTGGCAATCAGTGTTTTTTCTTGGTTCTGTCAAACTGTGGTAGAGTAAGGAAAAACTAGTTACTGCCTCTCAGTTTTACTCCTTTGCTGGACAACCAGCTAACATAAATGTGCCATCATCGTGCATTTATGTCCACACTCATAAAGATGGAATGAGAAGTGAAGCCACAGCAGAAGTGACTTAAACCAGAATTATTTTTAATAGGCACAGGATAAGGGAGCAATATCCTGCAGAAACGCTCAATTTAACAGTCAATTTTGGATTGACTGAATTGTAATTATCAGTTTTTTTGCGAATGAACTGATGAAGAAAGCAACAGCATTCAGCTCAATGATTTCACCCATGTAGATCCATCTTTTATAACGTCTATGCTCATAATACCATTGCATCCCCCCACCCAAAAATCAGAATAATGTGAAAAAGTTTTAGCTCATCCGGCATGAAGGACCAATGAGTTAATACAACAGGAAGATGTCTGTTGCTCCATGACAACAATCCTCCCAGAGGGAAAGATTCATTGAACTTTGCACACAATAACCAACTAATGTTTCTTCACCCATAATTTATTCTTTAAACTGTAAGCTGCCTGAAGTCAAAGGACGAATAGAAGAGGAAGATGTGTTCGGAGACGGGAATTTGGCACGGAGGACATGCTGACACGTGGTGTGAAGGCAGATGATCCACTGCAGTGACCTTAAACCTTTGCTGACAACTACCTCTGCCCAAAATTCAAGGTGTCCCTAAATATTGCATTCATGAGATGATCATGAAGAACAAAAAAAAAAAAAAAGCCGTTTTCTGAAACAGATTTATAAAATTATCTTTAATTATAATTATCAGTGAGCAACAGGTTGAAATGTCAGTGGGGATGAGGGATTACCCTTAAATTCTTTTAATAAGTACTGGGAAACATATCAGTTAATAAATATAACAATATACATAACATAGGCCAATTACAATAACCAACGGGTGCCCTATATCACCCCTTGCTTTGTGCCACAGCCCAACTACCACACAACCCCTGTAACCTTCAGGACAGCACTAGCACAGTAAATGAGATAGTATAATGTAAGACAGTCAAAGAAACCTTTATAAAGACTATACTTAAAAAAAACAAAAATATGCTCAAAATTTTGGTGTCACAACTGTGTTTTAGGTTTCTTCAGCAGCACCTTAATACACTTACTTGCATTAGACAAACCTGAGGTGGAAAAAGACTCCATGAGGCTACACTTAAAACAAAATAAACCAATTTTGAACTGAATTTAAAGAAACTCAACCCGCGCTTACGACGACCCCATTTACTCCTCCAATGTGCCCGTTTTCAAGTCCGTTAACGGTTATTTTTTCTTGTGGGTATAAAAACACTCCTTCCCTGTAACTGTACTTATCTGAACATACAACATTTTTATTACTGTCTGAATCCAGTATTAGAGAACAAAATCTTTGACAAACAGCACACTGAACAGTTATTTTTGTTTACATGAACAAAACTGAAGCTTCTCAAAACCGAAGTTTAGCTGAGAAGTAACTAACTTGCGGCTGAAGGCCTTCAATATTACAAACATTTCCGAAAAGCGGGGCATCAGTGTTTCAGAGGCACTTTAAGGTTTTATCATGTTAAACAGAGCTAGCAATATTACTGGTCCTCGTCTTCACTTCTCTGCGTATTTCTCTGGCCCCGGTCTGGATCTTTGAGGCGGAGGATGCGGATGATTTTGCTTTCTGGAAGGGAACTTAACATAAAATAAAAATAAATAAAAAATTATGATGTGAATACTGAAACCAAGCAGCGCATTGAAGTCACACGACCTTTACCCTACAGTGGCTTAGTCTACAACGACCAAGTCAATAAATCACATCTGGGTGGTCTAGCTGCTGTAGCACACAAATGCTGTATATAAACACACAGAGGTTGTGTCAGTGGTTACCTCATGTTCTGTGGGGTTAAGAAAATGAACTGTCTGTAGCGCTGACTGGCAGCCACCTTCAGCATCATGTCCATGGATATCCTTCTGTTCACCATGTCCTATTTAAAGAGAACACCCAAAGCCAATGTTATCTTTAAATGGGGCCAAACCCAGTGGGACAGTTTTGCAACTGTAACGAAGTGTTGCATATTCTGTGTCTCCTTATCGTTTGTTGTTTTTACTGATGATTATCTCAGTTTGCAATATGCATGCACCCGCAATCTAAACATAAATATAATGCGAACGAAAACTATTGTATTACCATGTAAACATCAAACTCATCAAGACAGCGGAAAGGCGCCTCTGTGATCGCCCAAAGAGAGAGGACAAAACAAACAGTGGAGAAAGAGCGCTCCCCTCCGGACAGCAAGCGCATGTCACTCAAGTCAGCCTTGTTTCCTTGGCCTGGCTGCACCTACAAAGTTATCATAAGAATAATGAGTCTCTGTTTAAATAATAATAATCAAAAACCTTTAGGCACTTTAATATAAATCTGAGGCTGTAGTGGCCTCTTACTGATGAATGAAAAAAAGGCTTACGGAAATGGAGAGGGTTTCGTTCTTGTGATCAAAGATCATACTTCCACTGTAGCCTCTCTGGGCTAACATGCTATCAAAGTAGTATTTACAGCGGGCTGACAGGAACCTATGATACCAAGAGAGAGAGAGAAAAGTAATCATATAACCGCAATCTTAAAAATATAAATATAAAAAATAGAACTTTACGTATAGACTTCAGAGGGACCTGTAGGAGTATTTAACAAATTGTTGTCAAATAGGGTACTAAAGCTACTAGAACTACAAGTCCAAGTTTTTAAGAATTAAAAATTCAATTTGATCGATCCAAATAAACATGCAGTGTCTGTGATTAAGCTAGGAGAGAAGATGAAACCTGAAAGTAACTAATGCTCGTGACTAGCTAAACCTGTGTGTGAAGCAGCGCACCCTTTTGGGGAAAGTTTGTGATATGTGTGATGAGTTCTTATCTGCCAATGAACAACGATGTCATGGTCACAGTCAATAGCGATAGCTCGCCAATCAAGGCGACTTTTTTGATGCATTAAAATTAATGTTGTCCATTAGTGCGGGATTTATCCATTTCTTTTCTTCCACTCATCCAAATCCAAGTGTTTGTGTGGAGCAACTATACTGACCCATCATCAAATGATAGGAAACAGCAAGATGTTTGTGACTGTTGAACTGATATTTAAATCTGTGCTTATTAGTGAAAAACTTATATGGTGGGCATGAGACGGGTGAGATATTTTACACAGAAAAAGACCCCAAAAACCTCTAGGCTGTGTTTTTGTTTTAATATCTTGTTCTATCATTTTGCAGTGCAGGGGCTAACTGGAGGGTCATTAGCATGAGCTCCTTTTAAGTACACATATGTGGGCAATGCTTTGAATTTGATTTCAAAGATTCAGTGTTTTATGTTTATATATTCATGTAATTTAAAGTGAGGTTTAAAAAAAGCATCAGGCCAAACTACCTTCATTTGAACAGATTTGCACATGTGCTCTCTGGACTGTTAAGCTAACATTTGTTTTAAAAATCTGACTAGTCACTCGGTCTATAACTAGACAAAAAAAGTTCAGATTCAGAAGCCAGTCTTAATAATTTAATAATTATTACCTGGATTACAGATGTAACTATTTACTCTCTTTTACTTTATTGCACAGGTAAGTACATCACTGCAAAATACAAACAGCAAACTGTGAATTCACCACTTACCTCCTGAGCTCGGCATAAGCCTGAAGTCTGTGGTTCATAACACTGTCGAGGCTTTTGATGAAGCTGTTGAGGTTCTTCATTTGCTGTGTCATGTTCTTGTAGCTCTCCAGAGCCTCGTGGTACTGCCTGTAAGTGGAAAAGGAAATCAATTCACATTTGGCATCAAGGAAGGACATCAATTTAAAATGCGTGTACATTCAACACCTCACAGAAACATCACTGAAATCATGTCAGTAATACACCGTGAGGATCCAATACCTCACAATCTCCTCACGGTCTCCCTGTTGTTCCTTCTGTGAAGTGATCTTAAGCTTGAGACGACTGATCTCGCTGTCCAGGCTCCTGGCTGACCGACGGCTCTCCACACGTTCCAGACAAATCTCTTTGGCTTTGGCCACTGACATCTGAGTCACAGAGCAAAACAAACCAATATTTTAGCTGCTAAATACAGGCAAAACTTCAAGAGACAGTGCTATTTAACTCCTAAAACTAAAGCAGATACATTGTATACAAAGTGCTTTTCTGATACTCATACCTCGTACTCCTTCTCTTTGCTTTTAAGGTTGCCTTCAAGAGTTTGAATGTTGTGGAGATGGGCACTGCGTTTCTCATCATAGTGTTTCTTGTGATGTTTGCATTTTATCACCTCCTGGTCAGTTTTACTGAGATCCTCCTGTATTAAGAGAAAGCAAATAAAGAATCAGGTAAAAACAGACAAACACCAACTCGGAGACAGGGCACGGTGGGCTGGCGTGGCCAACACACAAAGAGTTAGAATCACACCAAATTATCAGGGTTGATGTAATGTTAGGTAGTTGCATTGACACAATGTACTTACCAAGCTTACTGATCACTGAATGCACTGTAGACTACAAGTCACATTTAGCAGTACGCACACAGGAAAAAATCATTTAGATCAAGTTTGATATCCTGTTTTCACCTTATTTCTTGACTTTACTGCCAACTGTCTCAAATAAAAGAATAGCACATAGTGTCACTACAAGCTTGCAACATTAAAAAGTTGTCCCCCCCATATATCTACTGAAAGTTACTTCATTTGATTGACCTGATACCTTATAAGTCAAGAATTTAGCAACTGAAAAACAAAGGTTCTCACACTGGGTCTTTCTTTCAATATTACCTTGACTGAGTCAGCCTCCTCTGCGATAGTGTTAATGCACTCTTTGTGCTGCTTGTATTCCTGCTCTGCCTTTTCATAAGAACCCTTGAGGTCGGCCATTTGGGCCAGTCCCTCATCTAACTCCACTCGCTTGGACTTGATCTTGGTAACAATCTCATGAAGATCCTCCTCCTGTTGAAAATTAGAGATAATGGTGTATCATAAGAGTAGATCTGGTTGACATTATGTACAATATTTAAAAACTCTAAACCAAAATAAGCTGGGACAATGCTTATAGTGTAAATAAAAAGAGAATTCTTCTATTTGTAAATCTCATAAAAATCACAGAAAACAGATCGAATGTTTAAAGAGACATTCTACTTTTCAGGAAAAACATTAGCTCATTTTCAATTTGAAAGCAGCAACAGGTCTTAAAACAAGTTGGGATGGGGGAGAAAATGGCTGGAAAAGTAAGCGGTACTACAAAACAGATGGATAAACATAAAATTAATTCGGTTTCTATGATTTTGTTCTCAGAATTAACGCTGGACAATTTATTTTCTATGTTCTATTGTGAACAAAATATGGGTTAATGGGATTTTCAAACCACTGCATTCTGCTTTTAAATTTTACACAGCATCCCAATTTGTGGGATATAGCCAGCTCTAAGTCCAGTACAAGTGTGCATCTTTTTATACAGATGGAAAAATACATGGTGTTCTTTACAGACCAGGGGCCTGAGGTCCTCTGACTGAGGCTCTTCAACATTTTGTAGATCTGTGAGCTCTAGCTGCAACTTTGTGGCCTTGTCCTAAAACAAACACACAGACTTTGTTAGCAAATTCATTTCATATGATATCAGAACACTTTGTTCTCTTTCTAATGGATAAAGTATATCAAAGTAAGTGAAATGAATCACTAATATGCTTTAAACCCCAAATATGATTATATTAAAATATTAAAACTGAAAATACAAATTCTATTAGTATTCTTATCTGCCCTTCAGAAAATACAACTAACTTTAATGGTCTTTTGCTCTTGATGGGCTCTTCTTAGTAGGCCTTCATTTTCCTTGACGTCGTCATCCAACTTTCTCATCTGCTGCTGGAAGCGTGATGCTTGACCTTTCTGGTTTTCCAACTCCCTCTGTAAGTGTCTGAGAGGAATCAAAGAGACAAGGAGAGGCGAAAATGGAGAGACGTGGACAGAACATTTAAAGCACAAGTTTAAAGTCTAAAGGCAGAGAATAAAATACGAGTTTTCATGTGTACAAGTCAGACATATACCTGATCTCCTCCTCAACATCTCCTGAGAGATAGTTGGCTCTAGTCTGCTCAGCAGCATAACTCCGGTTAGTAAAGATCTGATCTCCATCCTTAGAGAAAGCATGGATGCAGTTCGCAGGAGGATTTTTGCTCTGCATCACTCTCCGAGCTTCTGTTCGATTCTATCAACAAGGAAAACATGTAAATATGACATGAAGTCTGAACACAGAGTTCAGAAGGTAAGGATATAATATTCTTATACAAATTTGAATAAAAAATAGATATAGTAAATATTAAGAAGCTTTCAAAAACATTATAGGTCTCTGCCATATTTCTGACCCAGCAGCTGAGGTTTAGGCAGATTTGTGACCATAACCACACTGACTCCACTGTGCAAAAGGTCAGATTCCTATTCCTGTACCTATGAAGCGCCTTGAGGCGACTTTTGTTGTGATTTGGCGCTATATAAATAAAATTGAATTGAATTGAATTGAATTAGATTCCTTGACTTGGATCATTTTCATTAAAGCAAAAATTCAGGCAACATTCAGGAGACTTGGTCAGGCAAATAAACAAATAAACTTTCAGGCACTGTTCGGCAAATGTACAGGTAGCTGTGTACACAATAAGCTGACTTTGGCAGGTATAAAACTTTGATGATGTAATAGCCATTCAGGTTGTAGAGAAGATCAGATCAGGGATAAGCTTAATAGACCTAAACAGCTGATTCATTATGGTTTGTTCACATGCTTAAGGTCCTTCAGTTCATTTACAGTATACTTTATCTAATATATGGCTTACTTTACACATTGCATCATATAAAAAAAGACATGTCTAACCACTCAATGTGCAACTATGGCTACCATCAAGCATCTTGTGTTGAAAAAAAGTTATGCTTTACCTTAATGAGCAGAATGCTCTCTATGCCCTTCTGATCGATCAGACAGTTGGCCACAACTGGGTCCTCAATTTCTAGAGCCTGAAGCACGGAGGGGTAGTTCGGATGACTGACAGCCCTGACACAAAACACATCAAAACTAATTTCGATTACATTTTTCAGATATTTTGTAATAATTAAGTAATAAGCTACATAAAGAAAATCTTTATCATACATAATATTTTCCAAAAGAAAAAAGTTACAACATTTGAGATGCACTAACACTCACTCTGAAGAAGGATACCTTCTAACTGAATACTTGTTGTATTAATTGTACTTTGCACCCCTATTTTATATATATAATTAAACCTCTATACTCACTTTTTTCTTGTATCATGAACTTGTGAGATGAAATTGCTAGTTATGATAGCAGGTCTGCGACCTCCTTGAAACATTTTGGCCATGAGGCCCTGCAGAACCTTCTCATCTTCATAGTTATCACATGTGAAGGCCAGCAGCTGGCCTTTAAGACATACTTCTACGGCCAGTGCGAGCTCTGGGTCCTTCAGACTAATTAGGTAACCTGTAAAAGAGAAGGAAAGTTAGAAGTGTTTTTTTGTTGCCACACATTTTGCACTGTGGTTGTGCACT